TAGTCTTTTTATCCTCTATTTCATTTAATTCTCTAATTTTTATTATTTCCTTTCTTCTGCTGAATTTGGGGTTGCTTTTGTTCTTTTTCTAGTAGTTTAAGATGTGATGTTAGATTGTTTACTTGAGATTTCTCTGTTTCTTGAGATAGGACTGTAATGACATACACTTCCCTGTTATTACTGCTTTTGCTGCATCCCAGAGGTTTGGATATGTTGTATTGTCATTCTTATTTGTCTCTATAAATCTTTTGATCTCATCTTTTATTTCTTCTTTGACCCAGTCATTTTTTAGTTGTATAATCTCCACATATTTATGGGTCTCTTTATTTCCTTTTTGCAGTTGATTTCTAACTTCAAGCCATCACGGTTAGAGTATATGCTTGGTATAATTTCAATCTTCTTGAATTTGTTGATGCTAGTTTGTGACCCAACATATGGTCCATCCTTGAGAATGTTCTATGTGCACTGGAGAAGAATGTATAATCTGATGTTCTGGGATGAAATGAACCGTAAATGTCATTTATGTCCATTTTGTCGAATGCTTCACTTAACGCTGATATTTCTTTATTGATTTTCTGTTAGGTTGATCTGTCTAGAGCTGTCAAGGGAGTATTAAGATCCCCAATTATGATTGTGTTTTTATCTGTTTCTCCCTTTAGTTCTGTGAGTAGTTGTTTTGTATATTTTGATTCTCCCTGTTGGGGTGCATATATATGATGCATTGTTATGTTTTCTTGATGTAATGCTTCCTTTATCACTATAAAGTGACCATCTTTGTCTCTTGTTATCTTGAAATCTATTTTGTCAGATATAAGTATGGCTACATCTGCTTTTCTGTGGATTATATTTGCTTGGAGAATCCTTATTCACCCTTTTACTTTGAATCCACCTTTGTCTTTGCAGCTTAGGTATGTCTCTTGTAGGCAGCATATGGTTGGGTTTTGTTTTTTGATCCACTCTGCTACTTTGTACCTCTTTATTGGTGAATTCAGACCATTTATATTTAAGGTAATTATTGATGTATGAGGCTTTCCTATAACAATTTTATCTTTTGTTTTTTTGGTGCTCTGTGCCTCCACTGGTTCGTTTTCTTTATGTTTCTGTCTGTTGTTTTTGTTTGGTTGTATTCCATACATCTTTCCTCTGTTTCCTCTTTTTTTTTTAAGCTATGTGTCCTGGTTTGGGGAATTTTGTGTGCGGTTACCATTAGTGTTGTTAAAAGATAATTTTGTTGGATATATTATTTGTGACTGATAAGTTCTCTCTTTCAGAGGTTTGAATATTTGGTTCTATTTTCTTCTGGCTTGTAGAGTTTGAATATTTGGTTCTATTCTCTTCTGGCTTGTAGAGTTTAGATGACATTCTGATGGATTTTCCTTCGTAGGTCACATCCTTCTTTTTCCTGGCTGCTTTGAGAATTTTTTCTTTGTCATTAATTCTTGACAGCTTTAGTACCAAAGTGCCTTGGAGAAGGCCTCTTTGCATTGAGGTAACTAGGTGTTCTGTTTGCTTCTTGGATTCGAGGATCTACTTCTTTTCATAGATTTGGGAAGGTCTCATCAACTGTTTATTTGAATAGATTCCATTCCCTGCTCCCTTTCTTCGTCTTCCGCAATGCCTATAATTCTAATATTGCTTTTTCTGATGGAGTCAGATAGGTCTAGTAGAGCTCCTTCATTTTTTTTATGCTCATGTCTCTCCTTCCCTCTGCGTCATATCTTGATTCCTATCTTTGGTATCACTAATTCTTTCCTCCATCTGGTTGGTTCTGTTCTCTTTGCTGAATAGTTCACTTTTAATTTCCTTAACTGCATGCTTTATTACTATGATTTCTGATTGGTTCTTTTTAAAAGTTTTAATCTCTTTGGTAAAGTACTCATTTTGTTTATTGATTTGTTTTCTGAGTGCACTGAATTGCCTGGTGGTATTTTCTTGCATCTCATTGAATATATTCAGAATTGCAATCTTGAAATCTCTCATTTATATCACATATTTCCATGTGTTCAAGTTTGCTTTCTGGAGACTTTTCATTTTCTTTCTGGTCATTCTCTTTGCTGTGGTTCTTCATGGTATTTGCTGTCCTCCTTTGTTTACACATTTATCTCTGAAGAGGTCTCTCTATTATTTTCCAGTAGATGGCACTGCATCGCAAGATTTATTTTTATTTTTATTTTTTAATCCTCACCGAGGATATTTTTCCATTAATTTTTAGAGAGAGTGTAAGAGAGAGGGAAAGACAGAGAGAAACATCGATTTGAGAGAAACACATTGATGGGTTACTTCCTGCATGTGCCCCAACTAGGGCCTGGGCCAGGAAGGAGCCTGCAACCGAGGTATGTGCCCTTGACTGAAATCGAACCCGGGACCCTTCGGTCCACAGGCCGATGCTAGGGCTTTTTTCTTTTTTTTTGATTGCAAGGTTTTTTACCTCTGTGGTCTCCCGGAGGTGAGCCTCCGAGGCTTCCCTAAGATGGTACCACTCTGCTGCTTGGGGGTAGGGTTTGTTTTGCCCTCACTGTAATGGCCACCCCTGACCTCCGTGGGGTCCCCCCCAAGTACCCCTCTTGGGAAGCAGTCACAGATGGAAACCAGTTCTACTTCAGTAGCTCTTGGCTTCCAGATCATATGCTCCTGGACCCGGCGCCAAGGGCCACGGGAGGCGAGTTTGTGGAGTCCAAGCGGCGGCAGGGCTCTGGTTCTGTTTCTTTGTCTGAAACCCCACTGCTGGCCTGACCGTGGGAAGCCGCAGGGCAGAAGCCTTGCTCTGCCAGGCGTCTGCTGGCTCCGTCCCTGTTTGTTTCCTCGCCACTC